TTCTTCAAGTCAGATCGGGAATGAACCTGCTTGCTCCTCATGCATAGTATTAGACACTTAGACATGTGGCAGGCTGGAAAGACTCTCTATAGAATTTTGAATGGATAACCAGCGAAGTAATGAATATTTAACCTTGTGGCAATAGAGGCTTTCCCTTCTGAAGACAGGGTCTATCACATTTGAGTTCCTCCTAAGAAAACAGTGAAGATGTACTCAGCACAACAGGGATTCCAGAACCCTCTTTCACCTCTACAGAAAAATACATAAAAACCTAGGAGATAAATTCCTCAAATTCAATACTAGAAAAGTATCTCTGGAGACCATTGTTGGCTTCCTTTTTTCAAATGATAAAAATCCCTGAACATTCCTTTGCAATTGGGCTGGCAGAAAGCCTAGAGTTAAATGTGTTACTTAAACGAAAGAACAAGTTAGGTTTTTGATACATATTCCTCCCTTTAAACAGCAACCTCACTCCCTCTGGTTTTGAATCTGTATTGTGCCATCGTCCTTTGTGTTTCGGGCCTGTGTATCAAATATGTAAATAAGACCTTAGTTCTCAGATGGGACTGGGTGCTACAGAGGGAAGGAAGTGCTGGCCACGACCACCTTACCTTGTGAATTTCTCGGTGCACATGGATGGTATTATTTCCAACCTTGGTTTCCGCGTTGGTCTCATTGTGATAGCTGGGAGGCAAGCTTGCCAGGTTCACTTCTGATGTTTTCCCGGCAGCTTCTTCTGCCTCCATCTATTAAATCAACGAATTACATTAGCAAAATTATTGTCTCTTGATACAAATCAGAATCCTTTAGAAAGAAGAACTACTTTTCGTCTCCTCTTCTGCAATTACAAATAATGCTAATCATGATAGGTACCATTAACTGAGTACCTACCAGGACAAGACATTGTCCTTAATGTTTTGCATGTATTATAACCATAAATCTCACAACCTCCCTACGAGGTGAGTGTTAATGTCTGAGCCACTGCGCCAGACAAGGAGACCTTGTCTCCTTGAATCTTCACAGCAACTCTACGAGGAAGGTGTTTTACCTCATTTTGCAGATGAATAAAACAAGTTGAGAGGTGAAGGGCTCTGCATCAGGTTATCACATTGGTAGTAAGTGGCAAAGCTCGAATTAGAACTCATGATAATACAGCTCCAAATTATGTGCTTTCCCGGTACATGATTCTGCCCTTGCTTTTACTGGGGACATAGGACAGCCCACCACAAACAAATTTGAGGATAATTATTATGGTTTTCAGAAGCCAATCAGGGGTTCAAAGAAGAGAAGAGAAAGGTTCCCAGGAGGAGGAGGAGGCTTGACTGGGCTGGTCTCAAGGAAGGGTAGGATGTGGACAAACNCTTTTAAGTGACAAACTCATGCTTCCAGCCTCTGCCGCTAGGGCTCTTTCCATTTCACCACACGGTTTGCCCCCACCAACCCCCAGGTCCCTTGAATGGAGGACCAGCGTCACACATGGCCACATGGACCCCTCAGCCTTCAGTAAGTGTCTGAGCATTGAGCCAAAAACAAGCAAAAAGAACCCATCGATTACGAACCACGTCAATACCACCTCCCTAACTATCATGGGTACAGTGGTTCTGCCCCTGAGATAAGGCTAAAAGGGGAGAGGAAAATTCCTTGATCCCCTTGGAAGGCCAGGGATGCATTCTGAACCTCAGAGGGGACGAACATGTAAATAGAAATTTCCATAAGGCACCTGGGTACAAGGAAGCTGGTCCTTGCAGACCCCACAGAGGAGGCACATTTGTACTGCTGACCGTGTCACGTGGCCGTCACTTTGTCCACTCCTCGTCAGGCACCTGCTTCTAAAGCTAGCAACCTCTTTGAGAAGAGTAAGTACAGTTGAGTCACCTCTGATCCGGGAGTACGGAGACCAGTGACCCTGACTGGGTCATCCCCTGAGCTGTGCCTAGGTCTTCCTTCTGTAAAATGACATCCATTCCAACCTTAGGACTCTCTAATCCTATAAAAACCATCTGCCTCTGCTTCTAAGCAACAGATAACTGAGTAACAGTTGCAATCACAAGGAGGCCAGAGAGTGAAGCCTGGGGTGGGGGGTACTCTTTTCCATTTAGGCCACTGGGTTCCACTTAAGGTTTTCTTGCTCTCAAACTGCCTGACCAGGGCTGAAATTATAAAAGGCATGGGCCAGGCCAGAGGGTTTAGGGCACTCCACAGTCCGAAGCACCAGGTCTTGTGACCAGGGTCCCCAATCAATGTACCTGGTCCTTCCTTGTTCCCCTTTCAAGGCTGAGATGGAGCCATGCAATCTCATTCTCATTTCATTCCCCTGTCATTTTTGATGCAAAGTGCATGGAGGCAGAGCCTGTTACCAGATTGCATCGGTCTGGTCAGAAATGGGGGAATCAGAAAATCTTGGCAGCAACGAGGCAGGACAGGTGCCTGAGAGTCAGCCATCTCCTGCCCGGTCTGAAGCCTGGGTCACCATTGGCAGGGCGCGCAAAGTGTGTGTGCCTTGGGGTGTGAGCGCAGGGGAGATGAGAACTCACGTGGTTCCTTTTGCCTTCCTCTCCCACAGACGTGATCACTGTCTCTGAAAAGACCATTTGTCCCGTCTGGTTGTTGGTGATCTACAGTAGAACAGGTACAGTGAATGTGACAAAGAAGGAATTCTGGGCAAATCCACAAGTTAGTGTTTTCTATGTTCTGAAGCAGGGGCATCCAGCAAAGGAGGCAGACTGCCCACTCCTCCCGCTTTATTTCTGAGTCTCACCAGCAGCCGTCAGATGAACAGTTTCCCCTCTGAGCAGCGATAATAGATATAACAGAGTCTACCTCACAGGGTTGCTATGTGGAGGAATGAGACGATCTGTGTAAAGCACTCAGCACAGGGCCTGTCACCTAGCAAATATTCAATGTTAGCTATTTTTATCGTCCTTGGGGCTCATCACTTGAAACCCAAGGTCAACTTTCTTTTCAACTACAGGTCTGGGTGACTAACTGAACATCTTTCATGAGAAGCAAGCAGGTTTTAGCTACAGCTGCCCCACTCCTGATTGGTGAGCTGTACAAGGGGAGACTTGGCCCAATATCCCTTTATCTGCTGTCTGCCTCTGATTCTGTCACCAGGAGCAGGCATCTCAGAGCTGAGCCTTAGAATCGTGACATGGAACCCAGGCCATTCCTGACCCATCAAGACATTGTGCTAAAGGCCATGTCTAAGGTTTGGGTTGATGATAAAGAACAGAAACGTTGCTGGCCCAGGAGCTAGGAGATCTGTGACCTTGTCGGCTCAGCTGCCCACAACCATCTACTTCATAACCTGGAACAAGTCA